GATGTTTGATGAAGTGGGTCCCAGCCTGAGGCACAGTGAGATTTCCGTGACTTGAGCATGTCTTCTCCCACCCCACACTCCTCTGTGGTGGGAACACCATCTCTTGGAGGAGGGAAACCACTGATCTGCAGATGCCCTTTCAATTCTCAGTGAGTTTTCAAATAACTTCACAGCAGATTAACTCCACTCCTACTTCCTCAAGGACACCTCCCTTCCTGTAGCCATTTTAATGCCATAATTTACTATTTTTACAGAGCTCCTTTTCACGCCTCACTTCTAGCTCTATTTTTGTTCCTGTCTCACTTCCACGAGAAATCTGCAGTGAGACTATTTAAATTTGATGCAGCTTTGAAATGCTCTTTTTAACGTACACTCCTCTCTTGCCAGAGCAGAAGCACAACTAGAAAGAGAATCTTTTATTAGTGCAGTGAGTCTAGCACATTATGCGAGTTGCACAGCCCCTGATTATATTATAAATATAAAAGCTGAATATCCCTCTTGCTTAAATTATCAGCTGTTTGGTTTTCATAAACTCCTCAACCCATCAGGAAAATATTTGCCTTCTGTTTGCCTTCAGAATCAAGGTTGCTGGTGATAATTATAATTATGAATTTAGCAGAGTGCCATTGAGAGGAGGCTGCAATAATCCTGCCCTGCTCAGCACCTGCTGCCCAGCCTGGCAGGAGAAATGGAGAGAAGGAAGGAGAGCATGGGGGCCCCATTGGGGTCGGTGGAAAACTGTTGCTTTCAGCAGGTGAGCACTTCGCTGCTGATTGACGAGCAGCCCCGGAAAGGCTTGTGCTGGGGAGATAAAGGAAGGTCAACATTTGCGCTGGCAGCTGCAGTGTGCTGAACAAAAGACCTTGAGCCTGAGTCTCTGTTGAACCCTGTGTGAGAACAGGCATCTCGGTGCTCAGCGGAGGTGGAGCTGGGACACCAAAGACAGGAGATGACAGAGACATCCGCTCCTCTATCCCCAAGCATGTCCCCCTGTAGCCCCGTTGCCAGCAGGCTGAATTTGCGTGTTCATGCAGTGCCTTACAGCAAGGCTGTGCGCAAAGCAGCCCTCTTGTAGGATGAAGATCTACCCCCACTTTGATCCGACAGGATTTCAGTAGGGTAGAACAGCCACAGGCCAAGCCCCCTGTACGTACCTATCTCACAGTTTCTGCCTTCGTACCCAGCTGGGCACCAGCACACGTAGGAACTTACTGCGTCCTTGCAAACACCTCCGTTTTTGCATGGATTGGGGTCGCACTGATCTCCATCTTGGAGAGAAGACAAGAGAGTTAACGAACATGAGCATCCACCAGGGCTGGTGCAGCCAAGCACTGCTGCCTGGCTCTGTGCAAGCCTCCTGTGCGGTTTCCTGCTTGTCTTTAGCACCTTCCTTCTTTGTGATGGAAAATAAGTCAGATGCTGGCACCCAAGCGCACAACAGACAATGTCAGCAGCAGTGCCTTACCCACAGTCCTAATGACGTACCTTGTCCCGTGGGGGTTAATTCTCTCGTTTCAGCAGAACTCCTTGGTGGTCTCCCTCATGCAACATCCCAACAGGTCCTCGTGCCTTAGGTAAGTTAGGCAATAGTAGATTTGCTTCCTCAAGAATGGTTAGGACATCCTAATCTGAATTATTTTAACACTGCTCTGTTTGTTCTCTGAAGGTCTGGGCCTGTCCACTTGGGTTTGGAGACCTCTCTGTGTATTAGGATTGAGAGCCTTGGTCATTGCTCTTTCTTTCTAAGTCTTATATCGCTATTAACTGGTCTAGCTTTTTCTTTACATGTCAGGGCTTTTATTTTCACAGTTGCCTACAGCTGAGAAGTTGAGGCTTTCATAAAAATACCCAGTATTGCAAAATTGCTGATCTAACACTCTGGAACAAGTCCATGACGTTAAATTACAGGGAAGCGCACTTTGACATGGTAACACAAAGGCAAGGAGGAAGAGGAATGTCTTGATGTGTATGTGTCCTGCCATGGCAGTTAATGATGCTCTGAGGAATGGGCTGGAATGCAGAAGGCAGCTTGCAAACACAGACAACGTGGGTTTGTCTTGTCTAAGGCCTGGTGTCGGGGTTTGCACTCAAGGTGTAGACTGCAGCTGTTGTTGCTACCTGGTGAGGGCAACTGGGGCTTGGTACCACTTGGGTGCTGGGCAAGGGGTGAGCTCCGGTGGGCTGCACGTGTTGGGAATAGCAGCTTGTAAACTGAAGAGTAAAGTAGGCACTTGGGATGATAGGGGAATATATGGCACTAGATATTTCTGAATAGCTAACTGGTTACGGTTGCAGGGCAACCAATGCAGTGTTGAGTTGCATCAGTTGGTTTTTCAGAGGACAGTCCTACAATGCAAATGTAACTTTTTTATTTTATAGTCTGGCCTGATTAATCTGAATTATTTAAGGCTTTTTAGTGAGATGTTCTGGGCACTTTGCCAATCTACAAAACAGTTCATTTGTTGAAATGTCCTTAAAATTAGTTTCAGATGGTTTAGCAGGCATTGAAATCTTTCTGGTAAGGGATTGAGGAGTCATTGGGGACGCAAGCTGAAAGGGAAGAAACAGATTGTGGAAAGAAAATGGTGGAGAAGCAAGGGTCTGGGACCACTGGTGTGAATTGCAGACAGCTGTTTGCTATGATCATCTTGAGGCTCCACTCCAATATGGCATTTCCAGGGTTTCATGCTGTGCTTGTTCGAGGCTATGCCTAATCTGGAGATCTCTGCTTGAGAACAGAGTGTTTGCTGTCTGCTGGAGGGGTGTTAATTATTGCTGTCGTGTTTTACTCTAGACCACAGCTGAAACTAGAAGCCCAGAGTGTGGCCTGGGCTCTGTGGATCCAGTGGTCTGTGTGAACTGGTTCTGTTCCGTGAGGTTTTTGAAGTTTGTTCAAAAACACTGCTTGAATAAACAAAATGTTAAGTAATTTTTTTTTGGCTTGCAATCTATATACAAACAGGTTGGGCCCAGGCCGGGTGGCTGCAAGATTTGGGGTGCATGACTCTGACTAGCTCTGTCATAACACAGCTTCTGAATGCTGGAATATATTTGTTTCAATAAACATCTGCTACTTGTGCACTGAGAGATGAATATTATGCATTTGAACATGAAGAAAGCAGCTCTTACCAATGTATGTTTTCCAAAACTCCATCTGCAAAGGAAAAAAAAAAAAGTTTTACTTGATTTCTAATTTCTGGACACTGCCAGACTGAAGCAGTAAAGGGATGACTCCAGAGCTAAAGCAAAAGACTTGCATGAAATCAACCACCTCCATAATCCCAGTGGTGACCAACAGACCTTTAATGCAGCTCCCCAGCCCAACTGATGGATCAGAAATTATAACAGAACATGACAGACACTGCCCTTGGCCCCTGCAGGTTTTCCCTATTCACTCCTTCCCCCTCTTGTGCCTCCTCACCCGAAAGGCTCACACAGGCACAGGCTGGGGTGAACAAGGTGTTGCCATTTTGCAGCAGCGATACTCACTGTTTTCTCTGTGTTTTCAAACACTTCTCGGGCTTCTTCAAAGCTGCATTTTTCTTCTATGCATTCCCTTTCCAGGTTCCCAGGAATAACCTCTTCCAGTCTGTTTGAGTTGGCTCGCTTTTGCCTGCGCAGAACCGAGCTCGCCTCTTTGTTCTCGATGAAAACTGCAATTTGGAAAGAAAGAGGGGCTGGAGGGGAGTGCACACTGCCGTGTGATGCAGCTGGATGGGCTGTCAGGGCTCTGTTCACCCAGAAAGCAAGCCTTTTTCATGCATTCACCCTCCCTTGCCCCATGGCCAGGGATGTTTCAAGAGTGTTATAATCTACGTGAGGTTTCTTTGGTGTCTAACTTAAGTGCAATTTGGGGGATAAAGTCTGGAGAGCAAGAGTCAAAGTGGTCAATAGACAGAAACGACTGATGGCGAGAGGGTGATTAGGAGCAATGCAGTTCAACGCTTGAAATACCCTAAAGCAGATGATGTACATAGCTCCTATCATAGATGCACAGACTGGAATAAGCTATTTGAGAGGGAAAAAGGACCGGCTTTTCCACGCAGCTGCTTGGTGAGGTCTTGTTTGAAGATAGAAATTGTCCTGCTTGAACTACCTCTGCCTCTTTTGGCTGTGGAAGGCCATTCGCCTCTGCAAGCAGCTGCAGCCTTTGGAAGCCATGGGCAGTTTGCTTCTCTCCTGCTCCTCACCCTTGACCACGCACCTGGTACCACTGTTCCTGTGGCCGTGCTGGCAGGAGGGGTGACATGACCCCCTCCTCTCCCCCTGGGCCAGGTCATATCAGAAAGGTGCTGTGTCCCCCACTGACTTTGACTTGCCAGCCAAGCTCCTGGGCAGAGACCACTATCAGGGAGCTGCAGCTTCCCCAGGGGACCCCCAGTCTATGGGAGATGTCTGTGGTGGCCACCAGCCCCCCTCCATGGTGGCTGCCTGGTGAAGGGCACAAAGACATGCAGTCCCATCATGGTGCTAAGATGGATGCTCTCCTGGCAGATGTCCCATTGGCAGGGTCAGCAGCAGCAGCCTCCCCGCGGCAGGCACCCAACAGGGTTTGCTCCTGACCCACCTCTCAGAGACCCCCACCTCTGCTGAGTGTTTGTCCCCATCCCACTGCTCTGAAAAAGACATTATTCACCCAGAAGATCTTCCTGCTTGGCCTCCCCAGCCTCTCCTCTCTGCACCCTCGCTTAGCACTCGCAGCCACATCCCTTTTTATCACCAGATGGCACGGTAGAGCAGCTCTTCTTGGAGCTGCTGGTGGCAGCCCTGGACACGGACCCTCAGCTGGGGGCTCTGCACTGGAAGGGGTTTGGGCACCAGTGGGTCTGGCCCCTCTGAGGGTTAAGAAGAGCATGAGCTTGTCGGGGTGGGCAGAGGGGAGAGTGAGGGGCGAGTATCAGACTCTCATTATGTGCCATAGCTGCCTTCTGCTCTCAATCCAGAGCAGATCCCAGCTCTCCAAAGCTGTGCAGGATCGGTTTTGTTGAACTCTCATGAGCCCAAGGTGGGTTTCTCTCTTTATGCCATGCCACTGACAGTGTAACTAGCCCCTTCGTCTAGAGATCTCTCTGCAAGAGACTGAGCGAATTTTTTTTTTTTTTTTTTGCAGTGCTTTTAATCATTGTACAGCAAGCTTGCATCTCTGCATTCCTCGTGTGTCCTGGTTTCAGCTGGGACAGGGTTAACTTTCTTCCTAGTAGCTAGCGTGAGGCTGTGTTTTGGTTTTATGCTGAGAAGGCAGATGATAAAACTGAAAACAGGACATTATGTTAGTGTGTTTTTGGTTAAAACTGAAAAGGAGTACATTAAAATCCTGATCCTAATCCTAATCTAACTGTTTAGCAGTAGATATCAATGGGTAAAGCCCTGACCTCTGAAGATGCCAGGCTTGTCTCAGACACTGCAGCCCCCATGGGGTGGCCGGTCCCCTCCCAGCTGCAGGGTCACGGTTTATGTGTGGGACATGAACGTACACCCTCAAATGGACCTCCCCAGCTGAGTGGGGGGCTGTGGACACAGAGGAACCAGGGGGCATAGCCTTGCTGGAGGAGACCTGCCTCCTGCTCCCTATGGCATGGGCCACAGCTCACAGCCTGTCCCCAGGCTGGGCTGAAAAGGCCCAGGTGAGAACGATGGAGTCTCCTTCCTTGGTTTGTGACCCTGTTGGGCTCTCCATGTGCTCAGTGCCCAGGGAACATGATGTAGGCACAGCTGTACATCCCCCGTGTGATGTGAGGCAGCTGCATTAGACCCACTCCTTCATTTCCTCCCAGTGGGATGTGCCAGGCACCTGCCGTCATTAACCTATTTAGTGGAGAGAACTAACCCATTTCATGGAGAGAACTTATTTTAATGAATGCAGCTTTGCCTCCATGAGATCCCTCTAGGCTTTCGCAGTTGCTTACTGGTCCCACGTGCTGCTTTACAAGAAAAACTTACTTTGAACGGAAGGTTGCAGGCCCCATGGGGTCACAGGCACGGTACTCACCCTGCCTGGAAACCTTCCTCACACCAAGAATATACTCACACGTGACTTATCAACTTCTGAACCAGTATCTGAGAGAGTGAGGTGGGTGTCTGGGCCAAGGGCTGTGAGAGGAGACCCATCCTGCCAGCCAAGGACAGTGTTTTCTAGCAGGTACACAGGGTGGGTGATGGTACCAATACACTTTTCATTGCTAAGCAAAGAGGCTTTTTTTTTTTTTAACCTGTTACTTGCAATGTTTTCATGAAAGCAGGAAGGCCAGCCTCGCACCAGGCAAGTACTGGCACTGGATGTGAAGCAGCCTCTCCTGGAACTGTTGCTGCTCCAGAAAAATCAAGCACCATCCTGCATTACTATGTGTGATTGCCCACATCCATCAACTACTCTGTCTTGTCTACAATTTTGGCTGTGTCTTACAGTCTTTGTTAAATTCATGCTGGGTTTGGCTTTAAACAATTCTTGCAGAGGCAAATCCAATGACTGTTTTACGGATGCGAGTACTTGTTTGTACTCCAGGACAAAGCTGTGGCACAGGCAGACGTGTGGATGTTACTCCACCAGTGATGCTCTCCACTTTTTTTCCTTCTGTGTGTGGCTGCATGCATTCTAAAATGGCTGAATCAAGCTCTAAAAGCTTAAAAGCTGCAAAAGTTTAAGAAAAATCCCATTCTTAAAATTAATCCCTGTGACACACTCTGTGTAAAATCAGCATAAAACCTATTATTTCATTCCCAGGAAAAGAACCAGAGCTTTAAAGAGAGGAGCTATGAAGTGCAGCAATCCCTCTGAGCTGTCATCTCATATGAGACTGCACAAGCTGTCCCACCATCAAGTGACAACCTGCCCCTTCATCTGTGCCGGTACCCCCTGCCCCCAAAACTGAAGCACTAGCTAGGTTTTAAATGAGCCCACCTGTATTTTCGGCACCAAGACAAGCTCCCAGAAGACAAATGAAGAGTATGAGAGGGATATCTGCCATCTTCTTCCCACTGCCCAAACCTCTCACTAACAAATTGTTCGGGTGGTGGAGTTCAGTCAATAGTTCCAAAGTGCAAGCACTTGTTTACTTACTCTGGGTAACCCTTTAATTTAAGGTCCCCAGATGTGCCATTGCTGAAGCTTGGAATGGCAGCATGGGTGCTATGGGAGGGGGACACATCCATGTACAAGAAGCCTGTTAGGTAGTTGCAGTCCTCAGGCTCGTCTTCTGCCCTGTAGGGTATTACTGCCATGTTTGGGGGTTGAACGTGGCACAAGGACAAATTAATTCAGCATCAATGAACCTCTTCAAACCAGGGGATTTCCCACTCCTATCCAAGTGATGTTATTGGCCCTATAAAAGTCTACAGTAGTATTTTCAAAGGCTTCAGCATGGTCCATATTTAATCCAAAAGTGCTGGCACAATTCCCTTGAAGACAACCCTACAGATGATGTTTCCTCTCAGGGATCAGACACACTTGGAGCAGGGCTGTGTCAGCCACCACTACACGGTCTCACGTGGGTTATCTAAGTAAAAACCTGGATGAAGTGAGGTGAGACTCTTGGTCCATTATCCAGACCTGCTGGGGCAAACCCCGCGTAGGGATGTGCTGGGCGATGCGATGTGCTGGGAGATGCTGGCTCAGGAGCAGGGAGAGGAGGCAGGGCAGCCTTTGCCTGGGGCAGGTTCACAGGCTGCTCCTCATCCATCCTAGCAAAGGAGTGGACTGAAAGGGAGAGAACATGGGGGAAATGAAATAGGAAGAAAAAGAAGGTTTTATTACAGAAAAGAAAGAGCAGGGTTTCATATGAAACCATTCATATTTAATGATGGGTTACTTGCAGCTTTTAAAACCTATTTCTTCCCTTCTTCTGTCTTTCCTGTACTGTGAAGAGCTATTTCAAGGTGAGCATTTGCTTTTGGGAAAATACTGAATATTGTAAAACAGCAAATGAAACATTCACTTCTGGAAAGGTCAAAAATCTTCCCCCCGCCCCCTCCTCCCTTGAGAAACTGTGGGGGAAGCAGGCCAAAATCATTCACACCACTCTGGGGAGGGCTTGCAGGCTTTCTGCCAAGGACCTGCTCCTCAAAACCTGCTTCCCACTCTCTGCTTCTCCCTCCCACCACGCATAACTGAAATCCATCGTTGTACCCATGCACATTTGGGGCTTGCGGTGCTCTGCCCAGATACAGAAGGGTCTCAGGCAGAGATGTTTTAAAGCAGAACTCCATTTCTGAGTGTGGTGTTGGTGCTCTTGCCCTTTGCGATTGGCTTAGCTCTAATACTGTGGTTAGAAGAAGAGCAGCAAGGGGCTCTGAGAGCTCGTTAAAGCAGAAGAGCTAGAGGAGGGGAGCTGGCAGGTTTCACTAGCTCCCAGCAAAGCAAGCTGGCTAGTCTGCTATTGTCATAGAATCATAGACTGGTTTGGGTTGGAAAGGACCTTAAAGATCATCCAGTTCCAACCCCCCTGCCATGGGCAGGGACACCTCCCACTAGCCCAGGCTGCTCAAAACCTCATCCAAGTGTTTCAGGGTGCCGCAAGTGCCAACAAACAGGCTGCTGCCATCCGGTGAGACACAGAGTACATGTGCCTGCGTCTCGCAGGCTGGAGAGCTATTAGTTGCTATGAGGCTACAATAGCCCTTAGGTAGTTATTAAAGTGTTTGCTCGAACTTATGAATGATAAATTCTGTGCACTCGGTCCAAAAAATTAAAAATGTTCCTTCATGCAGCAAATGGGAGAGACATTTATGGTTGCGTGGGTATTTGGAGTTACTTTCGTACACAGCAAAGACCGATCAGTTGTAGGTAAATATGAGATGCCGAATGTGAGTTACAGCCTCGTGAGATCCGTGTTGCCTAGGTGGAAAGAATCCTTTATTTTCCCTTTCCTGAGCAAACAAAAGGTCTTGAAACCTATAATTCATCTTGTTTCTTCTTGCTCCATTTGAAATGATCTTTATTCATCACTGACAGTAGCTTTTGTTATCAAATTTCTGTGGTAGATAAATGAGTTAGGATGAGGTAATGTGCTGTTGATGTAAATTGAATGCAAAGTGAAGAAGGTAATGATCACCTCTCATTTTCTGTGCATAAGAAAATGCAAATGTGAGAAAATAAATTGAGCTAAAATGCTGAAACAATGCATCTCCTATCAATAAAGAGGAGTGTAGAGAATGGCCTGCCATAACAAAGGATAATTAGAATCTCATTACTGTAAATATTTTACTTTAGAACATAGGTCAGTCAAATTATTTTTGGTTTATGGTGCATATTTCACTTGTAATAGTATTTGCAACATTACTGGTAATTAATCTTCACAGAAAATGCCAGCATTATTAGAATAAACAAGGCTATTAACACAAATAATTTCTATTGTTTACTACTATTGCTGTCAACTTCTGGGGCACTAAATTCAAAACTAAATATTTCTTTTTATTTATTTTGCAAACAGAATCCCCAGAATTGTGATCCCCACTATGGGCACTTTGGAGATGAAAGCTTTGCTCTTTAGGTGGATGACATCAATTAAATATCGGATCTGGGTATATTTTGACTTAACATTCTTCATTCTCAAAAGAGGGGTATTTAAATTACACACCCAAGTCATGTTCCTTCCTATTGAAAAGCCTTTCTGTAGCAATGAGCTGCTAGGAGACGTCTCTTCTGGTTTGAGGTGTTAGGTTTGGAGTTTTTTGGTTGAAATATCCCTTTTTTTTGTTGGAACAGAACCATCACACGCACATGTAGTTGCTGGGCGTGTGTTGGTGACAGAGGCAGGAGCTGGCAGGGGGGCAGGGCAGCGAGCTCCTGGCAGGGCCACCACCCTGGGCTTGGTGACTGCCCGTCTTTCAGAGAAGCTTTCCGCTGCAAAGCAAAATGAAGTTTATGAGAAGTCAGAACAAGAAAGCTATTTCCATTTTAATCTGATAGATTTTTTTAAAATGTGCTCTGGCTGCACTGATCAATAATGTTAAACAGCTTGATGGCTTGAGGATCTTGTTAAAGGATTGTTTGTAATCTCCCTGTCTCCAAATGCACTCTTTTAAGCAGAAAATCCTCACTCAAAACCTTAAGCAAATTGCAATTTGCCCCCGCCCTCTAGACAGCTATGGTAAGTAAGCTCTCCTTAACCAACAGCAAACAAGCTATTTCTGAAAAAAAAAGAGAAAGTAATGCTTGTTTTTTTTTTTTTTTTTTCCATCTTTATTTGATTACTTTGAAGTCCCTGGCTTTTTCTGGAGCAATGATTGTGGGAAGTTATCCAAATATAGAGGCAGCACAGCCATGCAGTCCTTTGCAGTGCCTGTCATTCTGTTATAATGATTAACATACTGGAGAAAGTACCAATGCTGTTAAAAGTCCCAGAGCCACTGAAGATATGGAGGTGTATTTGGATGTCAGTGGTGTTGGTGACCTACCCCAGGTGAGGATATGTCCTCAGAATTTGCAGGTGGGATGCAGATGGCTTGTCCCTGTGGAGGTGTCTCTGGGCTGGTGGGATCATAGGCGCAGGGAGATGCTGATGATGACTTCAAATCTGTGCTGTGGGAGGGGTATTCAGGCAAAAAGGAGGTGGTTAGCTTTGGTGACGTGAAATGGCAACCAGGACTAACTGTTCAGTGATGGCAGCATCCAGTTTGTGCAGGAGCAGTGTTGGTTCATCGCTCTCCCACCTCTGAAAGCCTCTCCCCTACTTCCTCTATCCATCTCAGGGCTTTTGATTCTTATGTTTGGCATTTTTCTTCTGCTTTTATGCAGAGGCTTCAATACATGTGCCAAGAACCAGGCTCCCCTTGCTGAATTCCCTCCAGACACATCCATTGCAATTAGTGCTTAAGCTCCATCCCTCCCATTTTATTCAGTTTTTAATTAGACTCCTGAACAGGAGCACACAGAAAACTCTGCTTTCATCTGGGAGATCCTGTGGCTGTGAAATATTTACGGGAAGTAAATAACTGTCAGAAAGTAAACAAGTCCCTGACTCTACATGAGTGTAAAAGTGCTTTGAAATAGTGTCATCCGAATAAAAGCTCCTCACGTTGAGTGGCAGTAAGAAACAGCAACACAGGCAAAAAATTCCCAATGTGGAAGGTAAACACAATTACTAATTCATGGAGCAGCACGTTTCACAGTAGCAGCTTTAATATCTTGCTTTGCAGTTTGATTTAAAATAGGCCAGATTAAAAAGAAATCTGGATTTGGTTTGGTCATCGTCTTTTCAGAAAGCAGAGTGCAAGCACAGATAGACGCACTGTGCTGCTGAAGTTATTCTAAATTTAGATGTTGCCATCTCCACTTCAAGCTCTGGATGAAACAATGAAACAAAGCTCAGAGGAGGCAGCAGCTCTTGCAGGTTTTGATGGGTCAGGTAGATCACCAAGCTCAAACATCATTGTACAGAGCAAGAACTAAATTAAACATAAGCTCAGAAGCTGGCTTGATGCTGTATCTCGGCATGAGACGGCACAACTCCTGTAACAGGCCAGGCACGTGTGGGATAGAGGCTCATCCTGCCCCAGCTTGCTGATGTGAACAGGAGTTCTGGAGGTTGCTTTGGAACAGATCTCTGAAAGATGGTTCTCTCTCCTCCAGCAAACCCATCGCCCCTGTCTGCTGATGGTATTAGTAGTGTAGTGTCCTAGAGAAATGTTCTTGGACCAGGACTCTGTTAATAGAGACAGATTAACGCCAGCCTAAGCAGAGGGAGCTTGTTTCCTTCTTCACTCGTGGGAAAAGATTCACATTGCTTTGTTCTGATGCTTGTTGTTGGAGGAGGGAGGTGTCTCGTTCCCTCCCTTTCTGTTGACTAGAAAAGGACCCTCGATTGACAGCTCGTGCTATATGTCAAAATTTATTTTTGGATAGTTAGAACTGGGGTGAAACGAGTCTCACCCAGCACATCCAAACGTACCCTAGTCAAAGCCCTTGTGCTTAACTCCATACTGAGCTTAAAATAATGACATTCAGTGTTCTCCCCTTGGCCATTTTCTA